ATAGAACACCGAACTGGCACGTTCATAAATGTTCTATCCGCGCCAACAGTGAAATTTCTTGAAATATCGGCAGAATGGCACGACGAATTGGATGGCACCCTGTATATTTTTTGAGAATATCGTTCTAAATAGAGAAGATAACATAATGGCTTTAGTTAAAATTATTCTGATTTATTTTCCTGACTGCGTGTACTTGTTATGATATTCCTATCTTTCCTGGGTCTCAGTCAAAGTGTAAAGTAAAAATTGTGAATATCGTCTATTTCATTACCTTTCGGCCAGACAACAGCGCCATCATCAGATTTTAAATTTACACAAACTACGAACACCAATTCACAATTAAAACAAAAATATATAAAAACTATAATTTATAGTGTTAAAACATTCATTAGGTCTTGAGCGAAAAATTCTTCCTTTTGGGAGGGCAAAACATTTGAAAAACTTACCTCATAATTGGTAAATATTAACGTTCTTTTAGGTCTTTGCCTTCTTGAAACCTTAAATTTGTCTGAATTATTTTCTACATTTGCGAGAGTGGTATGGTTTGATTTGTTTTTTACTTCTTCTTCCGTGAATGATATTGGGACCTCCTCCTCTTCTTCTTTTTCTGTCTGCTCAGCTCTCATATTTGTGTCTTGGTTGTTATCGTGCAAGTCCTTAAAATATATCTTCCAGTTGTGCATGACACGCTTTTAGTTTGACTGTATTCGTTCACAGGCTTTTTTCGATTTTTAAGCATCTTCCATACTTTCCTTTGAGCTCCATATAAATCGTGTTGGTATATCGCTGGTGAATTGTTCCCAGTACTCTCGTTTAATCCTTCGTATCTCTGCGTTCCGGCGGTTTCTAGTCTCTTCGTGTTTGACGAAATTATCGTGCGATTGAGTGCTTTTGTAAAGCAAGTAACTTTTCCTTTTTTATTGACTAGCTATTTCACCTCCTCACAAAAACTTGGTGTGTTGTGGTTTTGGGCATGCACGCTAACTTTGCTTTTTTCTAGGGATTCTTCCGCGGCTTTATGGATACACACTTTTATCCTTTCCCAGTTCTCATTGACATTGCCGTCGATTATACAGGGTGGATTATACAAATTGGCGTCATTCCTCTAGAGGTGTTGTCTGGAGCTGTTATAGGAGTACAGAAAAAATAGTAAAAGGAATTAATTGTTATTGAAAACTGAGAAATTTGCAAAAAACTATAGCAGAAATACGGCAGCAATGTTTTTCAAGGTAATCTGCCTAATTAACATTGCGCAAACCCCTGTTGCTTCGTAATTATTTAAAACTCCGGTAACCATGGAATTATACAGACTGACAATAAGATAGACAAGGATAAACGGTAAATTCAACATGAGCCGTTGAATGACGGAACCCATTTCGAAATGTCAACCTGTTCGCATAACGTCGAATATTGGTGTTTATAAATCCACCATACAACACCAAACATTTGAATGGTTAACTCCAAACAAGCTAGTTCCTGTGTAATCTCCTTATTATCCACTCTTATCAAGCAGCTTCTC